CTTGAAATTAGTTCAGTCACCCTGTGAAAATGGGTTCCTTGTTGCTAAGTTTATGTTAGCAAATTATGTTATGAGAAGATGGGAATTTCTGAAGAGGACTGGAGCAGCTTACAGCAAGGTAGTAAAGATCAGTAGGAGACAAAGGGTTAATTATCCCGGTGTTGCTTTAAGGGGTGTTACTAGCCATCAACCACACATGGTCCAGATGCTCTAAGATGAGATGTAGACTACGGTCCAGAGCTCTAAGACTTTCACTATTACTATTTGGTATACTTTCCCTAGTTTCTTCTTAAATCTTATTGTTAGGGCAGGTAAGATGGCTGACTGGGTAAAGGTGTTTGCTGCCAAGCCTGACAACCTGGAACCCATATAGAGGAAGGAGAGAACCAACCTTGCAAGTTGTTCTCTGATTTGCATACATGTGCTGTGGCATCACATACACACATACACACACACACACACACGTACATATATGCACGGGCAAACATAAAACAATAAATATAAATTTTCGTAAAAATAAAAATATCTGTGGCCAGCACCCACATGGCAGCTATGAACCATCCTTAACTCCAGTTCCAGGAGAATCCGAAGCCCTCTTCTGACTTCTGCAGCATTGCATGACACAGGTGTACTCACTTACATGCAGGCAATATACTCATACACATAAAATTAAAAAAAAAAATCTGTGGGCTAGGGAGTTAGCTCAATAGTTAAGAGCACTGGTTGCTCTTGCAGAAGACCTGGGTTCAATTTTCAGCACCCGTGTGGTGGCTAACAACTACCTGTAACTCCAGCTCCAGGGGCTAGGATACCTTTTTCTGGCCTCCAAGGGCATCAGACATGCATGTGGTGAACACTGATACATGCAGATAGTCACCCATACACATATACATGAATATTTTAAAAATACATAAATGAAAAATAAAAATTCTTGTGGTTCATGCTTGTAATTTCTTGAGAGGCTGACGAAGGAGGATTGCTGCAAGTCTGAAGTTAGCCTGTGCTGCATAATAAATTTCAGGCCAGCCTAGGCTACAGTGTAAGACCCTGTCTCAAAGAAACAGTTACAACAACAAAAGGCAAACATTAAAAAACTTGCGCCAGGCAAGAAAAAAAGCTGGTCTGATCATGGTGATGTACACTTGTAATCTAGGGGCTGGGGAGCAGAGACGGGCAGATCCTGGGACTTCCTAGCCAGCCAACCTAGCCTACTGGGCAAGTTCCTAGCTAATGAAAGACACTCTTTCAGAAACAAGTGGGCAGTACCTGAGGAATGACACCAGCGGCTGTCTTCTGACCTCTACATGCACACTCAGGCATGCATACACACACACACACACATCTGTGTGCACCCACATACACATATGCACACACATACATGCACACTCATATATCCATGTGTACCTGCTGTGCTGGATAGCTTTAGTGTCAACTTGACACACCTGGGTTGAGGGGACCTCAATTGGGGAATTGCCTCCATTGGGCCAGGCTGTGGCCATGTCTGTGGGGCATCTCTTGATTGTTGAGTGATGGGGGAGGGCCCAGCCCACTGTGGGTGGTACCACCCCTGGGCAGATGGGTTTATGTTGTATAAGAAAGCAGATTGATCAGGTGCTAGGGGGGCAAGCCAGTAAGCAGCATTCCTCCATGGCCTGTGCTCCAGCTCCTGCTTCCAGGTTCCTGCCCTGAGTTCCTACCTTGGGTTCCCTGATGAACTGTGACCCAGAAGATGTAAGACAAATAAACCCTCTCCTCCCCATGTTGGTACTGGTCAGAGTGGTGTGTCATAGCAATGGAGAAACACACACACACACACACACACACACACACACACACACACATCTTAAACTGAAGAGTCTGTAACTTTGTTTTCTGGGACAAGAAGAAAGGTAGACACAAGGAAACCATCTTCCCAGAACCTCTTGGAAGAAAGAGAAATCCAGCATTCTGAACAGGTGGTGACAACCACAGAGAGGGAGCAGAGGGGGAGCCCCTGGGACCTGCCACTGTGAAGACAGAAGGCTGCTAGGAACCTGCCCAGGCCTGTGGACTGCCCGGGGCTCAGGAGCAAGGGGTTCCTCAAATGCAGTGACAGATAAGCTGTACTCCGTAATAGGATTAAACCAAAGTGTTACAAGCGAGGGAGACAAGCCCATTCCTGTTCTCACCAGAGCCAGGCCTTGTTCTCATTCAGTAGGCAGCACTTCATCCTCATCGCTCCTGACAAAGCACAAAGGAACACCCTAATTCATTCCCTTCCCTTATGCTGATCTGAAAACAACTGGACACAATCAATCTATGGCTTTTTTTTTCTTTTCTTTTTGTGGTGTTGAGGATTGGACTCAGGGCCTCACACATGCTAAAGTGTTCCAGCTCTTTATTTTTCATTTTGAGACAAGGTTAGGCTACGTTGCCTAGGCTGGCCTTGAACTCATTCTGTAGCTCAGGTAGGCCTTGAACTTCGAATCTTCCTGCCTCAGCCTCCTGAGGAACTGGGATCACAAGCCTTCATGAGCAGGCCAGCCTCCACAGAGATCGTCAAACGGCACTGAAAAGGGAAGTTTATTTGCTCCCACTCCCGTCCTCCATACTTTGGCCCTTTCAGCTTAGCCACTTGCTGTTTTAACCCCAGTTTTGTCCATTCTTTTCTGAAAAAAAAAATCATCATCAAACATAGCCTGACCTCCGTAGACAGGCCCCTGCAGAGCCAGTGAAAGACCTCAGCTTTGCCGGCAGGAAGGCCAAGGCTCACAGCCAGAGATGAACACTGGCCAAGTTGGAGGACTGAGAGGGTTCCAGGGATCCCACTGATGGAGAAATCCCAGAGGATAAAGACATTCAAGCCAGGCCTGGTGGTGCACACCTGGAACCCTATTACCTGGGAAGCTAAGAGGAAAGTTGCTGCAAGCACAAGGCTAGCCTGGGCTACATAGAGATGGCTCAGTCAGTAAAATATTCACTGTGCAAGGATGAGGTGTGAGTTTGAGCCCCATCCAGTGCCCGTGTAAAAGTTGGATGCAGTGACATGTGCCTGTAATCCCTGTGCTGGGGAGACAGAGACAGGAGGATCATGCTACTTGCTAGCCAGCCAGTCTGGCTGATTCAGCAAGCTCCAGGCCAGTAAAACCCTGACGCAAAAACCAAGGTGGAGAGCAATTGAGGAAGACACCGGACATCAACACACATGTGCATGTGTATGTGCATGTGTGTATACACACACGTACATATATACATATATATGTATATATGAGATACATTCAAATCACCAGGCATGGAGCCTGGACCACTTGTCTCAGGAAAAAAGAAAAACATTCGAGCTTCTGGGAGAAGGTGGGCCTTGAAGGATGAGTTCGATGTAAGGAGTTCAGGCAGGTCAATGGGGTGAGGCAGGGCTATTCTGGGTAACGCATCCTTGAGTGACAATAAAGGTATGAATTAGCTGGGAAAGAGAATGAGGCAGACGTCACTGGTGATGCCATTTAGGAATCAATAAAAGTCAAAAGTGAGATTTCTTCAAATTTGGAGGAACCCTGCACACATCTGCCAGGGCATTAGATGAACCTAAGAAATGACCCCACATGACCTGCACCTTGCCTGCCAAGGTGGAGTGGGGGCTGGGGGCTGAGGCCAGGAGAGCCTTCTTTGATCTCTTCACAGTTGGAACCAAGGTACAGGCAAACTATTTGCCTTGATTTTTTTTTTTTAACCCCGGTCTAACAATGTAGTCCTGAGTGGCCTGGAACTCACTATGTAGCCCAGACTGGCCTTGAACTTTCAGCAATCCTCCTGCCTCTGTCTCCAGAGTATTGGGATTACAGATGTGTGCCACTGTGCCGCTGTGCTGAAGGGCAAACTTGAAAACATACTTCACCTTCTTTTCCTGTGAGCTCAGCTTGCCTTATCTTTTCCTTTCTCTGTTCTCCCCTCCTCCAATTCCTGCACATGGCCAGATGTCAAGGAGAGAGCCATTGTCACTGTGAGTTTGGGCTGGAATATCAATCTGTGTCATTTGTCTTGTTACAATGGGTGCATGGAGAGAAAGCACGGGGACTGTGTTCCCTGATCTAAGAATCAGAAGTCTTGGGGCTGGAGAGATGGCTCGGTGGTTAAGAACACCTCTGCTCTTGCAGAGGACCCGGGTTTGAATCCCAGCACCTACATGGCAGCTAACAACTGTCTATAACTCCAGTTCCAGGGATCTGAAGGCCTCTTCTGTCCTCCGCGGGCACTGCATGACACGGGTGCACTTACCTACATGCGGGCAATACGCTCATACACACAAAATAAAAATAGTAAATAAAATATTTTTTAAAAAAAGAATCTGAAGTCTCTGGAGCCAGCTGTGACAGTCTGATCTGCGGGAATGTGGCCTATAACTAGCATGCCTTTTCCTCAGAATCATTTATGCATGAAATGAAGATTGTTAATACCTCTCTCCCTCCTGCCCTCTCTCGTGATCTTCTTGAGATTCAAATAAAATGTGGCATGGACTGGGGAGATAGCTCAGTCTGTAAAGTGCTTGCCTTGTAAGCATGAAGACCAGAATTTGATCCCCAGCACCCACATGGGTTATTAAAGCATGCTTGTAATCTTAGGTCTGGAGAGGTGGAGACAGGTGGATCCCTAGGGCCCATTGGCCAACCAGCCTAACCTAATGAAGGAGCTCCAGACCAGTGAGAAGCCTTGTTTCAAAAATAAACTCAGGTCCTCTGGCCTCTACATGCATGCACACACACATGTGCACATACTTATACCCACAAACACACGTGCACACACAATGAAATGTGGTTTGTGAAAGCACTTTGGGGAGTGAAGAATTTATTAGCAGTAGTTCAAGGTGAGGGCTGCATGGGGTGGGGAAGGGGAATTGGGAAATCTCAGTAAACTCCACTCAGCCCTATGATTGTATAATGTTGTTTTATATTATTACAAGAAGTTTAATTGCATAGCTTCCTTTGATGCTTTAATAACCTTCACTCTAATGATACTTTTTTCTCTAGATGTACCTAAGTTCCAGCTCCCCTCCAAAAGCTCCAGTTCATCTCGCCTGGCCTCCTCATCTTCCAGTGGGACCCTCAGCCCCCAAAGCAGCAACTAAAATTCTCATGGAACACCTTCAGACACACCCTGGGCTTCAGTCCCTCCCCCTTGTAGGCTCCAGAACTGAAACGAATTGAAGGAAGGGAAAGGACTTTCCTAGAAAAGGCAAGATGTTCTACATGACAAAGAATTGGATTCTAGCCAACTCCTCCATTAAACTCTCCAAGTTTAAGTGCCTTGTTGTGAATGGTCCTGTGAATCCTACAGTATTTCAGTAAAAAGAACACATAGCAGAGAGGTTAACAAATGCAGAAATTTAGAACTCTGATAATAGGTACCTTGGGGTTGTTGAAGGGACACTTGATGGTATCATTGATAATACTGGGGATAAGAGGCAGGGTCCCAGAAGGAAATGACATGCATCCACAGGGCTCCTTGAGTAGTTTGGTGAAGGAGCTACTTATTACAGTGTCTTAGCATGTTGGGGCTGCAGTGAAAACTGGGGGTTTCAACAGCAGAAATGTATTTCCTCACAGTGTGGAAGGTGGGAGTCTGAGACAAGGTGTCAGCAGGGGTGGTTTTTCCTGTGGTCTCTCTCCTTGGCTTATAAATGGTCATCTTCTCCCTATACTATTTACATGATCTCTTCTGAGTGTCTGCTTCCTAATCTCGTCTTCTAAGTCATTTTGCATTAGGGCCCATCCTAACATCCTCACTAACCCCATTTACCTCTGTCTCCAAATACAGTCCCATTCTAAGATACTGAGAGTTAGGAATTCAGTATGTAGAGTTGTAGGGGACACGGTTCAGTCTATAACACATGATATGGGCAGGATTATGAGAATCAAGACAGGATGTTGTTGCCCCCAGAACTAGCAGTGGTGAGATCATCCCTTTGTTATCTCTTGGACCAAAGAGGAGGAGGGAGTGGGAGAGTAAAGGTCCTAGAATCTGGCAGGAACTGTGGCCATGGGAGAAGGACTGGTGGACGGGATATGTAGTAGGTGGTACAGGGACATGGAGGGAAGCAGCTAAGACCCAACTTTTCTCTCTTGCCGTGCTCCTACACTCCCATCAAAAAACATTTCAAAGGAGGGGCAAAGATGTTTGTTTGAATGACTTTTACAATATGGACATAATCCATACTAAAGACTTTTACTAACCTTGCAACAAAAAAATTACTGTTCATAATGTAGACAAGCTCACTGCTCCTCTTGTGACCTGGGAGTATGACCGTAATCCCTCAGGACCCCTCCTTGCCCTCTACCCAAGATAATGAATGAATGTATGTATGAATGATTTACACATCAAAGTGCTAAAAACTGTGTGCTTTCCTCAGTGCAAACAGTGAGAGAAATTGAGCATGTGTGATGGTCTAGGCTTAGGGATCAAAGGGCAAGATTCTTGATAAGGGTGGCTCCTGACTTCTACTTCCCCGTTTCATGCTGGAGATCCTGTTTCAATTAAAGAACAAGTAAAGCTCCTGCTCAGGAGCACTGTTTCAAGAGACATCTGAAGGAGCAGGCTCTTGGCAAGTTGAGTCCACTCTTGGCCTTATGAATGCTTTGAGTCTGACTGTCTCTTTGTTAAACATTTCAGTAATGTGCCTTAGAAACACTGCAGGTGGTGGCGCATGTCTTTAACCCCAGCACTTGGGAGGCAGAGGCAGGCAGATCTCTGTAAGGTTGAGGTCAGCCTTGGCTACTTAGTGAGTTCCAGGCCAGCTGGGGTTTATAGGGAGACCCTGTCTCAAGAAAAAGACAGAAAGAAAGAAAGAAAGAAAGAAAGAAAGAAAGAAAGAAAGAAAGAAAGAAAGAAAGAAAGAGAAAGAGAAAGAAAGAAGGAAAGAGAGAGAGAAAAAAGAAAAGAAGAAAGAAAAAGAAAGGAAGGGAGGGAGGGAGGAAGGAAGGAAGGAGGAAGGAAGGAAGGAAGGAAGGAAGGAAGGAAGGAAGGAAGGAAGGAAACAAAGACTGCACAAAGGCACTTGGGGTCCAGCCCTTTCATGCTGGCCTTCTGAGGCAAGAAAGTGGAGCTGACAGTGCTGAGCAGTGGGTCTGGGTGGGTCAGTTTAGTTGGGTCAGTGGAGAATAACTGGCATAACAGAGGGAAAGAATACATATCTGGAACCAGCAAGAAAGTTCAGCAGGCAAAAGCTCTTAATACACAGGCCTGATGATCCAAGTTCAGTACCCAGAATCCATGGTAGGAGAGAACAGACTCCTAACCACTACAGGAGTGCCTCATTTCACAGGCATCACATAAACACAATGTTAATAATAATAATAATAATAATAATAATAATAATAATAGAATGCATGACTGGAATTATGGTTGATGTTTAAGTGATTTATATGAGCTTTAGAGTAACTAGAAAATTCTAAGAAAGTCACTTAGCCACTAAGATGTGAATTACACATTCTAAAATAAATCATCTCAGGGTCCCAGAAGTTACTAGGTTATGCAGGATATGTAATTACCTAAATGGGAAACCAAGTGTTGGGTGTTTTGATTTGCCATGACTGGAATTATGGTTGATGTTTAAGTGATTTATATGAGCTTTAGAGTAACTAGAAAATTCTAAGAAAGTCACTTAGCCACTAAGATGTGAATTACACATTCTAAAATAAATCATCTCAGGGTCCCAGAAGTTACTAGGTTATGCAGGATATGTAATTACCTAAATGGGAAACCAAGTGTTGGGTGTTTTGATTTGCCTATTAAGTGACTCCCAAAAGATTCAAGTATTGAAGGCCTGGTCCCCAGCTGGTGAATCCAATAACTGGAAGGTGACTGGATCAGGAGGTCTCTGATGCCATCAGTGGCATGTTCATCCTGAATGAAGGTGGGGCTCGGTTGGAGGAAGTAGATCCCTGAGGGTGAGACTTTGAAGGGTATATCTCCTCCCTGGCCCCTTCCTGTCTTATACTTTGCCTCTTGCCACAAGATGAAAAGCTTTGCGCTAAAGCATGTTCCCTGCCATGCTGTTTTGCCTCATCATGGACGGGCCCAAAGGCAATGGAACCCTCTGGCTGTGAACTAGAACATGTGAAACCATCAGTCAAAATAAATCTTTCCGGGGTCTGGAGAGATGGCTCAGTGGTTAAGAGCACTGATTGCTCTTGCAGAGGACCAGGGTTTGATTCCCAGCACCTACATGGTGGCTCCGAACTGTCCTTGACTCCAGTTCCAGGGGACTCTGACGTCCTCTTCTGACCTCTGCAGCAGTGCACGACACGGGTATACTCACATACATGCAGGCAATACACTCATACACACAAAATAAAAATAATAAGTAAAAATATATTTTAAAAAAACAAAAAACAAAATAAATCCTCTTTGCGTATGTCAGGTATTTTGTCCCAGCACTGAAAAGGATGGCAAACATATTTGCCAATTGTGACACTGAACACTTAGGTCCATATAGATAAGTCCTTATGGTTTGAAACATTGGCCCAGAGGGGTGGTACAAGATGGAGTGGTTTGTGTCCAAATGATGGGTACAGACAAAACATGAGCACACAGCATGACACTGAAGCAACAGTGCACATTGAGATCTGTGTCCTTCCCATAGGAAGGCTTTCCTCTTCCTGGAGCCTGTGTCCTCATGGTCAGCCACAGAGCTGTGGGCACATGGAGAAGCTGATGATCTATAGCTGGACCTGTCTGCCTCTTTGACTCAGGCCACCCTTTCATCATGTCATAAGCCAGTTGAAGTGTGGGCCTTTATTTGAATAGGCCAGGCTGGGATCCACCTTTTGAACCTTCTGGGCCAAGAATTCTAAGAGGAAGAGGCTCATCCAGTACCGGCACACTGCCTTGGGCTGCCTTTGAATGGTTATTCCTGTGTAACAAACTGCCCCAGACTTACTGGCTACAATGAGAAGTTGGTTTTTACCTCATGAAGCTGCAGTTGGGGTAGAGTTCTGGGTGGGGAACTTGCCTCTGATCCCTGATGCGTCTCTGGGCTGTCTCCACAGAGGGCTAAAGGATTTCTTTCCAAGATGCCACAGGGACATGGCTGGACAGTTGGTGCTGACCATCCACTGGGGGCTCAGCTAGGACAGAAGGCAGGGCCTTTGCTTCCCCCATGCAGCCTGGGGCTTCACAGGTGGGGTGAGCCAAATGGACACTGAATCATCTCTGAGGCTCATCTTGGAAGGCTTCTAGCAGCACCTCTATTGTCTCTAGTTGCCAGATGGTCATTCCATTTCAAACATGGAACACAGACTCAGGAGGGCTGGAAGGTTCTGGAAGAACATGTGGGGTTCTGGGGCACCCACAGATACCAAAATGGACCTTGCACAAGTCTTTATGTGCAAATAATATAACATTTGCCTATAATGTTCCCACAGCCTCCTATCATTTATTTATTTATTTATTTATTTATTTATTTATTTATTTATTTATTTATTTATATGTCTGTTTGTTCATTTGTTTTTTGTTTTTAGCCCCAGCTGTCCTGGAACTTGCTATGTAGACCAGGCTGACCTCAACCTCACAGAGATCTTCCTGCTTCTGCCTCCTGAGTACTGGAGTTAAAGGCCTGTGCCACCATGCCTGGAACTGTTTGTCTTTGAGACAGGGTCTTATGGATCCCAGGCTGGCCTTGAACTTAACTAGTTTATGCAACACTGGGGATCAAACCCAGGACCTCGTGCATGCTAGGTAAGCAGTCTACTTCCTAAGCTATATTTCCAGCCCTTCCTTCCCATTTGGTTATTTTTTTTTTTTTCCCTTTTGGTGCTGGAGATTGAACCCAGAGTCTCATGCGCAAGCTGTACCAGGGAGCCACATCAGTAGCCTTTTATACACTGTACACCATGTCTAGATGATGTGTGATTCCTAACACAATGTAATTGTTACACTGTATTGTGTATAAAATAATGTTAAGAAAAAGTACACCTATTCAGTACAGATAAATGATAGAGAGATGATAGATAGATTTTCTATATATATGTAACCACATAGGCCTAACTGTACCATATTACATGTGTGTCAGCAATAGCATAACAATTTTCCTGTGTGTGGTGTGTGTGTGTGTGTGTGTGTGTGTGTGTGTGTGTGTATTTTTAAGTTTTTGTTTTTGAGACAGGGTCTCACTATGTAACCTACCTGGCCTGGAACTCACTGTGTAGACCAGGCTGAATTCATCAGGGATCTACCTGCCTCTGCCTCCCAAGTGGCATGCTGGGATTAAATTTTTTAATAAAAAAAAAAATTGTATGTGTATGAGTGTTTTGCCTACATGTGTGTAAGTGTACCATATGCATGCAATACCCATGGAGGCCAGAAGAGGGCATTGGATTTCCTGGAACTGGAGTTGTGGACAGTTGTTAGCTGCCATGTGGGTGCTGGGAACCAAACCAGCCAGTGCTCTTAACTGCTGAGCCATCTCCCCAGTCCTGAGTGCCAGGATTAAAGGCTGCAGCACCATGCTGGGGCCCAGCACTTTTGTTTTGCAGTTGGTGGAGCCTCAGGATGCAGAACTTACACGTAGGACCTACTGTGTGACTGTGGGAAAGAAACTTGTTCCTGCTTTCAGGGAGCTTAGTAAGTTAGGGAGAAAAGGGGACAGCCACTGCGACACCATGCTCCTGGTACAGATCACCTTCCCTGAGAGCTCAGAGGGCAAGAGACCACTTGGGGACCAGCTGCAGAAGGGATGTCAGCCAACAGGAAGTGGGGTGGGGGAGCATTCCAGAAAGAAGT